GATCATTTGTAAGTGGTGAGCGCGCACACACTCTACTGTACGCGGGCGCATCAGACACCGCCGGCACCCGACGCTTCAAGGAGGGCACATTTTGGCTGTGAGCCGTAGTGCTGGGGACAAGGACTTAGCAGACCAAAAAAAAAAAAAAAAAAAACCAAAACAAGAAGGAGAACGGGGCTGGAGGTTTAGCTCAGCGGCATAAGCACCTGCCTTGAAAGCAGGCAGTCGTGAGTTAGATCCCCGGTACCGATAAAAAGGAAAAAGACCAAAAAAAAAAAAAAACCAAAAAGCACCCAAGCGCCAAGGCTCCAGGCTGCCTGCCACTCTCAGATAAGGCCTCAGCCACGAGCCTGACCTCAAGGACCCACAGGTTCTAACACATGGTCAGGGTTCAGCCATTCATCAGTCCCCCACTGCATAGAGCTAGAGCGCCTTGGGAACCCCTCTGAATGACACTGCTTTGAGGTTGGAAGAGCCTCCACTCTCCATCAAATCTAAGGCCACCAAAAGGGCAGAGGGCCTGTAATTTGGCAGCTAGAGTGTCACACGAAGAATGATGAGGCCACTTTACCCCCACTTCCTGTGCCTCCCCGACAAGGCCTGCTCAATCTAGCCCGCCTTTCACCTCTCCAGCTGCACCTGGAGACGTTATTTGTCCAAAGCAGGCTCATTAAGGCCTGTCCTTAACTCAACACAGACGGCAGTGTCTCTGAATGTCACATGTGTTCAGCAAACCCGCTCACTTAATGTAGAGCCCTATTTTTAGTAAGCACACACAAAAAAATAGGAACTGTATCACAGCAGCTCATTTGTCCTTATTTGTCTGCCAGGTTTTGTCCCATACTGACCTGGGGCCAGGCAAGGGCAGGGACCATATCTCATTTATCTCCATACCCACAGGGCCTGACACAAAACCAGCATTCAGTGTGTGTGCTGAAAGAACGGGGTAGAACAGGTGTTCTTAAATTGCCGTGCAGCAGTGTGGGGGAGCTGGCTCAGAGGGTCTGCAGCTCCCTCGGAAAGGGCATAAAATGAGTGGGTGGTGATACACAGTGGGGGGGCGTGTACATGCCATGTACACACACGTGGGGTTCATGTACGCTCCCTTAGGGTGTGTGCGTATGTGTACATGTGTGAGTGTGCAGCATCTGTGGCTTTCAACTTCTCAAAGGACTGAGGCCCTAACAGTCTCCAGGATCACAGGAAAGACTACAAAACAGCAATCTGTGAGCAGGAGTATGTCTGCCCTTCGGAAAGGTCAGAGCTGGTGCCATATGCTGTAGCTCACCAGGCAGACCCAAAGTGAGCCCCCAGTATGTCTCCCACACAGGACCCAGGCGATGTGGCACTTGCGGAGTGACCTGGGAGTCCCAAAACACGCCTTTCCCTTTCAAGGTATTGCAGGTTGAGAGAGGCAGGAACCGGGATTCAGCGAATGCCAAGCATGCACAGGGGAACCTAATCTGCATGCTGCCTGCTGAGAGCGGCTCATCTTCCTCCTCGATGGGGCCAATGCCAGCCAGGACGCTCACAGCCCTGTCCCTGCTCTGCCACAGGTACGTAGCTGTCTCCTCTGCTAGAAAAACACAGTGTACTTCTTGCACATCTGTAGGCAAATCAATTTAAAAACCAAGATAGATGAAATAGATAATTTCTTAGAAAGACATGGGTTACCCAAAATGACTCCAGTAGAAATAGAAAGTGTAACAGGCCCACGAGAAAGCCACAGAGCCCGACGTATCCACTGGGGACTTGGTCATCACCGTAGAAAACCGTGTCCTCACAGTGCATAACTTGTTCTGAGCACAGAAGAAAAACCCTCAAGCTGAATGCACACCAAGGCCACTGCAGACCGACATCACTCAGCTATTGCTGAAAAGAATCACAGATACTGCATCACGAAACGGATGTCACTGCCACAAGAAAATAACACACAGTGAGCACGAGGGGTTCATACCAAGGAGGCTTCAAAATCAGGCAACCCGTTCATCCAATCCAATACAGAAATAGGTCCACAAAGAATAAAGTGACATTTTAAATTGCCTTTGACGACAGCACAGGAGAATCAGCGACAGGAGGGGCTTTGCCAAGCTACTGCGAGATGATCCCATGGCAGGTCTGGTTCTGCTTCCATGCCACCTCTGTGTGCTTCAGCAGGGTGGGACTCCCCGGGGTCCATCGCTGGCCTTTATCTCGCCACTGGGTGTGGCCACAGAGCACAGCAACTCTGTGAGCTGTCATGATGTTAGCAAAAGCCAAGGAAGGCAAAGAGCCCTCATTTTACTAACAGATTCTGGAGCATAATTCCCCACTCCTTAAATGGAAGGCCCACAGGGCAACTTCCTTCCAAAGAGCATAACGGGAAGGAGCACAGTAAAGAAACCCAACGAACATGTCCTTGGCCAGGTGGCCAAGGTCAACACACACAGTAACAGATCACACCGACAGTATGTACCCTTGATGTGATGTGATAAGGAAGGCACGTTACCTTTGTGCTCTTCCTCCCAAAGACCCACAGCCATGTCGCTATCATGAGAAAAACATCAGAAAATCCCACATGAAGGACAGTCCTCAATATACCTAACCGGTACCCTTCAGAAACGTCAAGGACAGAAAAAAAAAAAAGAATAAGATTCTGACTTTGAAAAAGTATAGACCCTAGGTAGTACTAATATGTCATTTTGGTTCATTAGCTGTAACAAATGAAAGCACTATACTAATGTAAGATGTTCATAATACAAGGAAATGGTCCTGGCTATATGGGAACTTCCTGTGTTATCTTCACAGAAGATAAATCTGAAACTGCTCCAAAAAATAAAATTATAAAAAAATATTCCTAGGCTTTCATTGTGGTCATTAAGATACCCATCTGGTAGCTACCAAGCATCACTTGCCAAGAAAAACTATCAAAAATACCTCCCACCAAATCTGGCTTGGAAACTATTTCCCCGGAAATCCTTACCCTCCACCCACACCTCTCAAAAAAAAAAAAAAAAAGAAAAGAAAGAAAGAAAGAAAAAGCTCACTATGAACCCGGGAGGGGTGCAGGTATTAATTCTCTGCAAAATCTGATTTTAATCTTAATGAACAGAAGAAAGACCATTGATGTTGGCCTGGATCATTTGCAGATTCTTAATTGTATCTTTTCAAAGCAAAGGATGTTCTCCAGATTGCAATTTTAGAACACGGATCTCTTTTGCTGGGTAATTATTTCCATCTCCAGCCAAAATACAAACTTATTACTAATTGCCATCTCCAGGGATCCCAATGAAGGTGATGCTCAAAGTCAAAGCCGGTCCCTCACCAAAGACAGCCAGGGAGCACGCTAAGGATAAGAAGGTTAAACTATCTCCAGTCAGCTATCTGACACAGCGGTCCTGGGAAACCACCTCTTGTCTCTAACAGGCCTCCTGCACAGCCAGCCAACACAAGCTCCTCCCCCCAGCCCCAAGCCTCCCAGATGCAGCAAGCCTGGAGGCATCTGGAAAGTGACAGCAGGCTCAGCCTCAGGCCACCCCAGGCATCTGCTGGGCTGGGCTGTCAAAATCAGGAAGCCTGGTTGGGGTTTTTGTTTTTCCAAGACAACCTGCTAACCAGAAAAATAGAGAGGCTGTGCACAGGTCCTCCCCCTCCTCCCTCTGACCAGTGCTTCTGTGAAACACGTGAAACGCCACGGGAGCTTCGCGCTGGGGCAGGTGAAGGCACAGACGGCGGAGTTTGGGCAGAAGCTGCTGTGCCTTCCGCGGTGCCCACTCCAGCTCTCCGCAACCTCCCCATCCTGACGGGGTGTTGTGTGTCGATCACTTAGCAAAGCTCAGACCAGTCCCCTCCGGGCTGACTGGTGGAGGCAGCAGCAGAGCCCAGAGAGGAAATGGGCTGGCCCCATCACACCAAGCCAAACCACCCAAGCATGAGACTCGCGCAGCCTCTTCCTTAGTTTCACAGCAGAAAGTCCCCAAACACCAGCGCATGAGAGGCGCAGGGGCAGCTGTGTCACCGAGGGGCTGGAGGGAGGAGCTCTCCCCCACGCTTCGCGCATCCACCCTGTCTGCTGGCTCCATTCTCTGCCAGCCTCCCCTCCTCCCTCCGAAGGCAAGTACAGTAGTCACTTCCACTCCCCCTAACGGCCCACTCCCCGGCCCAGTCCCCGGCACGGGGCCAGCAGAGCCGGGACCTGCCACTCTAGAACTCACAGGTAACTGGACACTGACCCCGAGGAGGCAAGCGCGGGCCTACCGCCCCCTGGCGCCGCCTCCCCGGCTCTCACCTGGGCAGGGAGGCCCTGTCCCGCCCCAGGCCCCCAGGAAGGTGGCCTGCGGGGCGGAGTGGGGCCCTGCGCCCCCTCGCCGGCCCGCGCCCCCGCCCCGGCTTGGGAGCCAGGCGCGAGGCGCCCCCACCGACCTTCGAAAGGATTCACATAGTCATAGTCGAACAGGATGGAGAAGTCGAACTCGTCCTGGGGGCTGCCCCCGGGCTCGGCGCCTGGGGCGTCCATGGCGCGCGCACGGGGAGGGGGCGCTGGGCCAGAGGACGGACAGACGCCACTGGGCCCGCGGGTCTCGCGGGGAGGGTGGCGACGGCGGCGGGGCGCTGGGCCGAGCGGGCCCCCGAGCGGCCGCCGGTGGCGTTCCTCGTGGGGACGGACGCACGCCGGCCCGGGGTGGCGCGCCTGGCGCAGCGAGCGGGTCCTGACGCGCCCGGAGCTGAGCGGCGGCGGCGGCGCGAGCTTCCTGCTCCGGGAGGCACCTGTTGCAGCCGCAGGGGGCGGGGAGGCGGGGACAGCGCGGCCGGCCGCGGGGGCGGGGCGGGCCGGCGGGCGGGGGAGGGGAGGGGAGGGGAGGGGAGGGGAGGGGAGGGGAGGGGAGGGGAGGGGAGGAAGGGAGGGGAGGGGGAGGGCGGAGGCCGCGCCGTGCAGCGCCGGGCGCAGCCGCCTCCCACCTTCCTCGGGGTCACGGGCCGCCCTGCCCCCGCCCGAGGTTTAGACCAGGGAGCCGCCGCCACTTGCAGTTTTGCCCTAAGGGAGCACACGCAGATCTCTTCCTCTTCGTTTGTTTTGTTTGTTTGTTTGTTTTCATTTTTGGTTTTTTTGCAGGGGGTAACCCCTTCCTCTGCAGACTCGGTCTCCAGGTGCTTGTCTACACGGCTGCGGCAGGCTCTGCGTGGCCCTGACTGCAAGCCCTGAGCTGTTTCTCCGGGCCGAGACTGAATCGCAGATGCAGATGCGCTGAAAGCTGCAGTCCGCGGCCACCCACTGCGCCAGGTGCTGGAAGCCAGCAAGAACCAGCCCCTGTTGTCCGGGGTAGGGCGGGGAGCGGCGGGGAGCAGGGGAACAAAACAAAGATCACCAACACCCCCTTCTCAGGGCTCCAGGAGGGAACTCACCGGGATTCTGGTATAAAGTCCGGCTGGGGAGCCTTTCATCCCTTGGAGGTCAGGGAAAGCTGCTCTGGGGGGTTACTGCTAGGGAGCCCCAAGGATGAAGACCTGGCAGAAGTGTTCTGACTGCAGACTAGAGGAAGAACAGGGAGGCCGCTCCTGGAGGACAGGGCTGGGGAGGGGGGCGGTACGGATGCTGCGGGTCGACGGGTTGCCCTGGACGCTTTGTTAAAACGCTGATTCCTGGGCCCCTCTGTGGAACTTAGGATTCCAAACCTCTGCATTACAGGCTCGGAAATGTGTATTTAATCCAGCTACCAAGGTGAACGTTACAGAAGCAAACCCTGCGCCATCCACTGATGAGACACTTTTGGGGGCGTCTCTCCACTTCAGATTTCTGAAGTTGGAAAATACAGTTCTTTAGAAACACAGGACAGAGCAGCGGGCCCAGCACATTAGAATTACCTGGGCTGTGTGTGTGCGTGTGTGTGTGTGTGTGTGTGTGTGTGTAATGCTGGTCGTACTGAGGACTGAACCCAAGGCCTTCATTCTCAGCCTTTGTTTTGTTTTATTTTGCTTTTGAGACAGGGTCTCACTAAGTTGACCAGGCTGAACATAGATTGGTGATCCTCCTGTCTCAGCCTCCCAGAGTCCTAAGAGTACTGGTATACACTACCATGCCCAGCTTATACGGGACATATTTAAATTGTAGCCAGGGCTTGGGCTACAATCTAAACCCACTGAGCCAGAATGTCCACAGAGTTTCGTAAAGGCCTCAGATGAATGGGAAGTGTGGCCAGGCTGAGGAGCAGGATATTCTATGGGAGAGAGCCTGGTATCCCCGAGAGAACCTCGGGCGGTTTGGCATCAGTGCCTAGACTCTTGCCCCATATGCCAGGAAGGAGGAGGCTGTAAACCCTTTAAAGACACGCTCCGTGCCGCTGAGGGGATGTGTGCAAAGCTACCCGGCCTCATTCAGTCCACAAGTGTTCATTGTTCACCTGCCAGGTACCTGGCACGGCTGCAGATATTGGGAAGGTAGCCAACACGGCCCGGCCTCTCCCTGGGTCACGCTTCTAACCTGGAAGCCAGAAAGCGTAGGTGTGATAGAGTTTCCCATTGCATTTGCAATGCAGTAGAATCTGGAGAGATGTCACCACGTTCAACTACCAGACACCAACTTAACCAGAATGTTAGTGTTAAATGTTAATGTTGACACAATATTTTGCAAAAGCTTGCCAGATGCTTCCAGTATCGGGCTAGAGGCAGCAACCCCTGGCTTAGACTCCGAGCCCATGGCAGGGCCCTGGACCTGGCCCCAAACACATTTTAGAGTCTTGTAAAGCACTCTCTACTTCTCTGAGCATTGAGAAATCCTTTTTTCTCCGGACCAGATGCACCCCTGCACTGTGTGTGTGCAGAGCATCTTAGGAGATGACTGATAAATTTAGGTGGCAGAGGAGGGGAAAAGGCGCCAGCTAAGATCCCGACAGCTAGACGGAAATGGAATCTCTTGGGTCTTTAGGGCAAGGACCAAAAGTCCAGACACTGAAATTTGGTCAGAGGTAGAAAAGGGAACCAGCCTCCCCCGCCGCTGTGGAAAAGGAGAAGAATGGTGGGTGACACCACCCCCACCCTGCCGCAGCCCCCTCCCCTAAATCCCTTTCTGCTAACTGTCTCTTGGTTATCCCCATGCAGAACCATTCCTCTCTTCTGGCAACAGCACCTTGGTGTGTTCCTTTGGGAAACCGTGTCTGTCTGTCTGTCTGTCTGTCTGTCTGTCTGTCTGTGTATGGTGCCAGGACTCAGGGCCTTGGTACTACAAAGCACACACTCTGCCACTATGCTACACCCTCAACCCCTAGCAAGCTACAGTCCACCCCTGCACCACTCCCAACAAAGAAGAAGCTATAAGACCCAGGCGAGGCAGACCAGAGAGTTTTACCTCCTCGAGCCTGAGTTCCACGAACGCGGAGACTGTGACTGCCTGGTGATGGCTTCCTGCACAGTGGACGTGGGTAAATAGAAGTTGACAGATGGGTGATTAGATGAACGAATAGTTGGCTGGACGCACAGAGGATGTGACCCTGCTTGTCTGAATGATTGCCCTCGATTTCTCTCTAGGATCCTCCGCTCTGAGCCACCCTGGCCCCCCAGCTGCTAGGCCCTGAACCTAAATTCTCACCTCTGCAAAGCCTTGGGAGGCCTCATTTTGAGACATTTTAAGAAAAGCTCTCACCACCTCAGCTGCTCCTGGAGCAGTGGGGCCCTTGCAGAGCTCTTTCGGTTTGCAGCTTGCACTAACACAATCTGAGTGCTTTGAAGGGAAGGCATGCAGCCCAGGCCCTGGCCCAGAGCAGAACCCCTGGAGCTGCGGAGAGCGCCTGCTTCTCCAGAGGCCAGGCTGCAGGGTGGGGCTTTAGGCTGAGGGAAGGCACATTTTCAATTCCAAAATAAATACTGTGCCTTCAGGAGCAAGGTCCGGGAGCAGAATGCATGGCTTTTATGCATCCAAAGGCCAGCAGAGGTGGGGGTGAGGTGGAGACCTTGACAGAGACACCTCTGTCCACCTTCTCTCTGACCTACAGCTGACCCCTGTGCAATGACCCTGGCCTTCACATTTGTCCCCAGTTTCTCCAACAAAGTACATTGTGAAACTAATGAAGCCAATGAGTGTTCAAAACTTCTAGCAAATATTGGTACTGTTTGACCCTGACCCCGGAATTCAGCTCCATTCAACTGGCACATGTCCCAGTGCATAATTACAAACTGAGATGAAAGAGAAGGAGGAGGTGTGACCAGATGTAGGGAACCAGATGTAGGCAGAGAGTTTAGGAACAGCTTCATTAGGCAGGGGAGTTTGAAGCTGGACCGAGAAGGTTGAACAGAAGATACCCAGGAAATAGTGAGGGGAAGAACTAACAGACAGATTGGAAAAGTACAGTATATGCAAAGGTCCTGGGGCAGGGATAAATATGAAGTATTGAGGGTCTGAAAGAAGACTTGGATAGCAAGTGCTTAGGTAGTAGCCTGGGTGCAGCTCTCCACCTTCTGGTAAGAAGCTCATTTTAGCTACGATCTGAAATTCTCCTAGGAAATCTGAGCTCACATCTCAAGCTGCCAAGCCAACATCTCATCTGGGCACCTGAGAGGCATCTCCAAGTGATGTGTCCAAAGCCAAATCCTTCTGTCCTCTGAGCCACCTTCCACCACTCTTCCACTCACTCATTAATCCAATTCTCTGCCAAAATGCAAGGGGCAATCTGCATTCCTTCACCTTCTCCCCCCCCCCAGGCAAGCTCGAAAAGCACAACCCAACCCCGACCATCTCTCAGCACTTAGCTGTCCCCCCTCGCACCCCAGTGAGCCAAGCGGCGCCCACTGTCTCTCACCCAGACCTCCGCTCCTGCACTTGCTGTTTCTGTGTCCACCTGAACACAGAGTGCCCAGAAGCACCCACCGCTGGCTTCCTGCTGCACTTGGAGGCCAGGGCTGCCGTCCCCACCCCAGCGCTCTCGGGTAACGTGTCCTGGTAACGTGTCCTGGTAACGTGTCCTGGCGTCCTGTCCTCGCATTCTAACACCTTGATCACCGGCCTGCTCTTGGGGACACTCCGCATGGCCTCACCACAGGCAGGACCTTTGGTCACTTCTGTTACTGCCTGGCCCTTGCCTCCTTGTTCCCTGCATTTCTCCCACAGAGATGACCTCCCCGCAGCCTCTGTCCTCTCTCCCTGCTTTCCGTCCTACGTGACCCTCGTCCAACAGTATCTTTTATTTCTATGGACAAGGGTCCATCTACTTAGGCCACTTGCTTGGACTTCAATGGAAGCCTACGAGCATACCCCTACACTTGTAGGCTTGTCTTGTCTGTTTATCTACTTATCTATCTATCTATCTTTCTATCTCAGTACTCTAGCCAGAATCAGCACATAACAAGATAAGACACAGCCAGCTAAATTAAAATTTTATAAAATGAATGTTTTAGTGTGAATATGTTCAAACTGTATGGGAGATTTTAAGCTAAAAAATTTGTCACCATTTATCAGAAATTAAGATTTAACAGGCTGTGTCTCTTTCTGGCCACACCAGCTGCATCCCCAGATCCTCAATCAGTCCTGAGAAGGCAGGAACTCACCGAGAGCAGCTGAGGACAGAGGGAAGGACGGGGCTCGAACCGGCTCCCCGCAAGAGATCAGCCAGGAGGAATCCATCGGGAAGATGGGTGCTTTGCCCATTTAATGACCAGACATGGGTGTTGTGCAAATCGGTGTGTTAAACACACTCATGGCTCTGCTTCTAACACGACTACGCTACCTTCAAACATTTTTACCTCAGCAGCATTTCATCTGACCCGATGGCTTCGGGGAAACGCCCCCTGCACCTATTTTTAAAGAAAATTAAAAGAACTGTTGTCTATGGGAAAATGTCCTGCTCCCGGGGACACAGAGCAGGACAAGAATGGCTGAAGTGTGGCTCCCTCACCCCTCCAGAGTGACCTCCCTGAAGGCCAGGGTCCCCAGCAGCATGAAGACATCGATGCCTGGCCAGGCCTGGAGTGACCTGGTGGTAGTCAGGACACAGCCCAGCCCAGAACGGGAATGTGGGGTTGGGGGTTCCATCCGGGTGCTTTCTCTAACTCCCTCTGCGCCCAGAGTGCAAGACACCTGGCTTTCTTGTGCCTCAGTTTCTCAACATGTAAAGGGAAGAGGATTCAATAACACCTGATCCCCATGCCAGCTCCGACATTCAAGGATGCGTTAAGGGTAAGGAGGAGGGGCTGGGGGTTTAGCTCAGCGGCATAAGCACCTGCCTTGCAAGCAGGCGGTCGTGAGTTCGATCCCCGGTACCAATAAAAACGAAAAAGACAAAAAAAAAAAAAAAAAAAAAAAAAAGGGTAAGGAGGAAATCCAAGCCAGCCTCCAAAGCAGCCAGGCAGCCACCGGCACCCCGCTCTCAGAAGACCCTGAAAATGGGATGAGTGGGGCTCTTTTCCTGCTGCCGCTGTCTTTAAATTAGTGCTTTTGAAAGAAAGGGCTGCGTGTTTTCTTTTCCTCTGACCCCCTAGCAATGAAGCAGTCACCCTAAGTGCAGTGTTTAATGAATAAGTAATAAATTTATATCGGGAGCCCCATATTTTGATATCTCCCCAATATAATCAATCACTGACTGTAGAATACAGACAACAAAAGCTTTAAGTCTAATCCAAAAAGTCAGAATGCTCTTTACCGAGGTCCAGCAGCCATCTCTCCCCAGTTTAAGCAAACCCTGGGGCTCATTATCACTGTAGATGTTAATAGTGTACTTCGTGGACAGATCAGCTTGACCCCTGTGGGCTGGCACTAGGGTGAGGCAAAGTTCAAGAGGTGACAAAAAAAACTCAGAGATCAAATAAAACCTATATCTGAGGACCGGGGATTTAGCTCAGTGGCACATTGCCTACCTAGCAAGCACAAGGTTGTGAGTTTGATCCCCGGTACCAAAAAAAAAAAAGTATTTTTGAGCAATATTTTAAAAAACCAAAATAATCATGAAAAGGATTCTTAATGAACAAACTCTTGAAATTGTAATAAAGATCAGAAACAACGCTGTAGATGGCTGTGGAAGCACATCCCAACACTGTAGGAGGCTGAGGCGGGAGGATCACAAGTTCAAGCTTAGCCTGGAATACTTAGAAATTTAGTAAGATCCTGTCTTAATAGAAAAACAGAGCTTAAAAAAAAAGGGATATGGCTCCCTGCAAAGGCTCTGGGTTCAGGCTCCTGTACCACCTAGCAAAAAGAAGAAAAGCAGTCTGTGCTGAGTGGGTCACTCTGGAATCTAAGGCCAAAGAGAACAGGAGCTATACCAATCCCGTCTTTATCTGCAGTTATCACAGTTTTTTTTTGTGTGTGTGGATTTCGGCATTGGTTTTACTTTTAGAGTAGGACGTGGAAATTCCGTCAATCCCTGGTCTCCCGCTACACAGCGTCCCCGAAAGCCCCGCTCCGCACTCCCACGAGCTCCTCCACAGGACAGTTTGCAGCCTCGACTGGACTCCAGCTCATCAGCTCTGCCCACCCTGCGAACGCCCGGACAGAGCCTGGACAGAGCTCCTCTGCCCTACTGTGAGAAAACTGCTGTCCAGGAAGGATGTAACAAAGGCGGCCCTGGCAGAGAGGGCAGTGCAGGGCTCCTGGGGAGGCGCGGAGCTGGGCAGCGGCCGCCAGGGGCAGCGGTGGCACTCGCAGGCCTCCAGGGGCCTGGCCAACTCCATCCCGCAGCTGCGTCAGGTCTGGCCTGCCTGGGCTTTGTTTTTATAAATCTGAACTAATAATTTTAACTTCAAAGAGTCCATATGAAAATCCCAAGTCCCAATTTCTCCTTTCGAAAGAAAGAAAAAGGGAAAATCCGCCCACACCAGCCTGTGTGGACGACAGAGCTGGCGCTGAGTGACCCCTCAGGACTCGGTGGCCTGCAGCAGCGGGGACGCTGGCCTCCAGGCCTGAGTCCTCCCCCGCCCCGCACCCTGCACACCTGCTCGGTCCTGGGGTGCTTCTCATCCGTTCCTGGCATTTTGGTGCAATGCCTGGGCTCACAGAAGCACATGAAGGACAGCGCAGTTGGCAAATGTCCTTTCCCAGAATCGCCGCTCCTTGACTGACCTGGGCAGGGGGCCACGTGCACACCCCTCGCCCAGCTTCTGCCCAGCAGCAGGAAAGCTGCTTAGTTAATGACAGAGGACTGGTTAGCCCCGGCCTCCCCCACAGCCATCTCTCAACCACCAGCGGCGGCCTCAGCCTGCGTCACCTCTCGGTCACCCCACCTTCTTCCTCCACGGCGGAGCCCCAGGACTGCTCTCCTCCACACTCTCTCCCACCAGCTTCTTTTGCAGCCTTCATATACATGCCGATCTAATCATCATGGAACTCAAGGGGGGACGAGGACGCCGAGCTGACTCCAGAAACGGGGCCGCTGCCCTCCCCTCCACCAAACTAGATTTCACCCTTTTAGTGACTGAGCATACGCGTGGTTGTGTCTCTCTTAACTTCTCTTTGCTTGGTTGTGTCTCTCTTAACTTCTCCACCTGCCTTTGAGGAAGATGTCCCTCTTCGCCATCTTGGATTACCGCCACATTCCCTGCGAAGCACTTTGCAAACCCGTCTGGGCTGAATCCTGTCATCCAGAGCCCACAGGAAGGCCCCTGGGGTTTGGTAAAAACTGCTTCATTCCCTTCAGGAGAAACCCTCAGTGCATGTGCCGCTGAAGCCAGCAGCCTTCAGGAGGAAGTCTTGATGGATATTTGGCTGAAGGAGTGTAAAAACCTGAATTTAAAATGACAAAATAATACTTTAAAGTGGCAGCTAACAGCACAGACCGTTGAGCTACTCCAGAACTTCACTAGGCCCTGAACACCCGACCCATGTGTCAGGATCACTAGTGCCCTACTGTTAACAGTCAAGGAAACCAAGGCGCAGGGCAGGCGGTGATGTCATCAGAAAGTCACACATGCCCCCATGGGAGCGGCTTTGTCCCACATGGATCTGATACTCATGACTGAGTCACAGCCTTCCTGACTTAGAAGCTGAGGGTGGATTTGCCAACGGACGTTTTTGGACCAAGATGAAACACTAAATGACTCCTAGTGAAAGCAGAGGATGGGAGAGAAGTAACATAGAAACTCCAGGCCGGGCTGGGAGGGACCAGTGCCTGAGGTGGGGTCATTCATTCACAGAATACATGTCTTCTACCCTCGAGTCTGTGCAGAACCCAGGGCCCGAGGGAACACAGTTTGACAAGCCCAAAGGAGCCAGCTGCACAGACTGAGAGGCACCACTTCTGATGACTTCCCTGCCCCACGTCAGCTCCAGCCCCCTTGTCCCCTGTCCAAGCCACTGCTGTCACCTCTCACCTGCTTCCCAGCGTCCACTGGTTCCCTGAGGTCAGTATGGTTCTTTGAAAAGGCACAGGAGTCCTGCTGCTGGAAACTCCCCAGCAGCTCCCCAGGGCCCTGACATCACAAAGCCGTCTGTCCTTTCTGTCCCAGCCACACTGGGCTTCTGCCTGTCCACTGGGCACCCAGCACATACCCCTCTTCCAGGACCTGAGAGCATGGTGCCTTCTGCCTGGAATGATTTCCCCGAGACACTGGCAAGCAGACACCCCACTCTCCATAGAAAGAAACCTTCGAGACAGGTCTGATGGCCCACACCCGTAATCCCAACACTCTAGGAGGCTGAAGCAGGAGGATCATAAATTGGAGCCCAGCCAAGGCAGCATAGCAACTCAATGTAGCTCAGCACAAAAACCTTAAGTTCAGCTCCCAGTAAAACAGACACACACACAAACACACACTTCCTCGGAGAGGAGTGTCCTCTGTGTGAATTAGCAACCTTATCGTTCTGTGTGAAAACGTCTCTGCCTACCAAAAGCACGTGCTGTATTCAAGTCCTAACCCCAGGTACCAGCAAATGAGCTCACTCTGGGAAATGAGGTTTCTGCAGATGTGAGCAAGGTAGTCTCCCGCAACGAGAGGATCTAAGTCCCCAGCACAGCAGCCTCATAAGAAGAGTGGACACAGCATACGGGAGACGCCATGGGATGACAGGCCGCGGTCAGAGGGATGTGGCTGTAGCTGCAGAAGGCCAAGGATTTCCAGCAGTCTCAGAGGCCGGAAGCCGGAAGCCGGGGGAGCCGATGAGGGCATCTCGCTAGAGTCCTTAGCAAGCGCACGACCCTGCCGACACCCGGACTCCAGAGTCTGCCCGACCTCCAGGACTGTGTCAACACGCTTCTGTTGTTTTAAGCTGCCTGGTTTGTGGTAATGTGTTACAGCAGCCACAGGAAACCAGGGCACTCACAGACCACACACACACACACACACACACACACACACACACACACCCCAAGTCTCCTCAACTCATCCTCCTATTGTAGGACTATTTGAAATCCTCTTGGATTTCAAATGGCTCACCTTCCCCGTAAGGACAGACATCTCATCTGTCTGCTTCCCTAGAGTCTTAGGCAGTAAATGGCACACAGCAGATGTTCTCAGTATTACTCAGGGAAACTGAGGCACAAGACAGCAGAGTGATTCCCACAAAGTCAGGCAGTCAGCAAGTGGCAGAGGCAGGAGGTGAACCTCCGGCTGAGAGCTCAAGCTGGTGATCTCTGGGGTGGTAGAAATGTCACCAAGAGCCACCAGAGACTGACAGGAACAGAAGACCCATCGTTTCCCTGAGTGGCAGTTGGGGGTGGGATCCAGCCACACTCAGGAAACACCTTTGCCAAGGTAGCTGGGGGACTCGGGCACACCAGTGGGTCCCAGGAGAGGAGAGGATGGAGGGGCTTCCTGGGGCAGGGCTCCCTGCAGAACAAACCTTTGCAGGTTTGGAGCCTGTAACCGGCTGCTGAGGACTCACCTCCCTCCGATGGGAGCAAACGCATCGTGGAGCCCCGAGCACCTAAGATGGTTCAAACTGAGGCTCCACCGCTTCCTCCCTGGGTGACACTGGGCCAGCCCCTGCCCTCTCTGTGCCTCCCCGCTTTCTCCCTGAAGGAGACAACAATCCCAGAGCTGACTGTCCGCAGCTGCCACAAGGTTTAGAAGACTTCAGACCTGTAAAGCACTCAGCCTCAGGGCTGACTCTGAGTCAGGGCCGGCTGTGTGACTGTTCCCATCACAGAGGGCAATTGAAGGCTTGTCGGGTGCCAGACCCTGGGCTTCTAATTTGCTGCATGACTTTGGGCAGAGCCGGTCTCATCGTCCTCAGCCGTCAGACAATACTAACATTGAGGGCGTGTGGACCGCACGTTAAGCACAAGGCTCAGCGTTCGCTGTGCTGGATTTCATATGACGCACACAACAATGCTACGGAGTCAACACTGTTATTATTTCTTTTTTGCAAACGAGGAAATTTGAGGCTTCCCCAGCCACGATCTGAGCCCCATCTGTGTCATTATGGAGTTCCAGTAAGTGAAAAAATACCTTGAGAGACACAAAGTACTGTCTCTAGGCAAAGGGTTCTGCTCAGCTTTGGTCACTTTGCAGCTTTTGTATGCGGGATGGCAGTGGACGCTGATGGAGCCTCAGGTGTGTGGGCAAGACATTGCTCTGCGTGCTCACTAATGCTCTCAGCAACCCTAGGAGGGAAGCATTTTTCTCAGCCCCATTTTACAGATGAGGAAACTGAGGCACAGAAAAGTTACATCACTTGCCCAAGATTACACAGTTGTGATGTGGTCAAGCTGCAATTTTCATTTAAACAGAAAATCAGGGAACTTGGGTCTGAACATGAACAGAACTCATCCTGGGCTTCTTTATACCTGAAATAACTTTCCATCGTCTCACTGCAGGTCATACTGAACACGCCTCTTTCAGATCTCCAGTTTTCTGCAGGGCCTCAGCCCAGAGCTGCATGGGAGATTCCATAGTGTTTACCATGCAAACCCTTCTGCCCACTACGCAGTGACTTCCCCACCTGCATCCAAAGGTCCCAAGGTCCCGTGTCCGTCTCTGAGGCTGCTAGGGTTCTAGCTGAGAGGAGCATTAGCCTTTGCCTCTCAAGAGCCCATGCAGGGCAAGTGGACACATCCGTATCCGCCCCCTTCCAGCAGCTGCCTTGGATGCCTGGGATCGCACTGTGTGCCCAGTTGCCTTGGCATGCCAAGTGTGGTTGCTGGGCACAGTCTTGTGCCCTTGTGCACACGCTGGCATGCACATCCCCACAATCCCTGCACATGCGAACGTGGCCTGGGAAAGGGAAGCCACACACATGCACGCAAAAGGCACATCTTTGGAAACGTTGGGAGGAGTGGGTTCATAAACCTGCAGCAGAGACCAACAGTCCTGACAGAATCAGAGGATTGCTCAGATCACACAGGAAGACAGAGCCCGATTTCTCTTCTAAGCTCCCTCTGGCTCCTTTCTCCCCCCACGGAGCTAAACTTGGCATTGGTCTGTCCCCTGCCCCCACCATCAGAGCATCAAACACTCAGTCTCGGTTCATATGGCAGTAAAAATCCTCTCCCGTCCTTAATATGTGTCGCCCGTCTGGGAGCATCCTTTACAGATGATGCAATATTTGTGCCATGATGTCACCGTGTCTCGGTGGCTTGACCACTAGCAGAGGACAGGATAAACTGGTACCAGTTAAAACACCCAAAGTCCGGGCAGCGTCCTGCTTGCTAAAGCACAACTCAGCCAAAAATATGCCAGTGAGGTCCACTGTGGCAAAGCACAGCATTTCCCTAACCCAAGGCATTTGGCGCCGATCTGGCTTTCAACAAAAAGCCCCTCAGGTTTATTTACTGAAATTGTCATTTCTTCCCCCATTGCCCCCACCCAGAACTTTAATCAGCCACGCAGAGCACAAAACCTACATTCAACTCTGATTTTATGACATGAAGCTTAACTCCTCCCACGCGACTTTATTTCACTTAACTCTTGCAGGGCTTCCCCCTGGGTAGTGGCCCCCACGCCTGCAGGCAGGGCTGGCTGCTGGAAACCGGACGCTGCCGATTCTCTCTGAGGTCCGCGTCCTCCTGCCCCTCCGAATCCCCTGCCCAACCCCGGCCACACGGGCTCCTTTGCGTAGCATCTTCCTGCACGCGAGCCCCCTCCCGTAAGATCCAGGGGTACCCACACTGCCAGGCTAAAGCCCAGAGCAGGAAGATGCCCAGCACCGTGGAATCAGATCACAGCCCGCGCCGCGGGACGCCGCACTGGAGGGGGCGGGAAGACTTTATCTAAGGGGCGCACTAAACAGGGGTGAAGTGTGCCTCAATGTCCCAGAGCACCGGCTCCCCTGTAGGAAAGCAGAGTCTCCCTTCCTGTACTGTAAAATGCCAAGCCCGTTCTCTTGAAAGAAAGGAGGGAAAAATCACCTTAATAAGAATGATCAATAATAATAATAATAATATTAATATTAATATTAATGATGGTGATGCAGCCGAATGGCATTTGCTGTCAAAGCCGAGCGCTGAAAAGGTTAAGCGGCCAGCGGTTAGTAAGCGCGAGCCCCTGCCGGTGTCCAGCGGAGGGGAAAGTCCTCCCACGAGCGGCCACAGACCGGCGGGAAATCCCGCCTGGGGACCCCTCCCGGCCCGCGCGAAGCCGTCTGCAGTGGGTGTCCCCGCTCTGCTCTCCCCGGGCCAGGGCGCGGGCGCCCCTCCTGGCCACCCTACCTGCGGCAAGCGGCAAGCGGGGTCCCCGGGACCGGGACCGACCTCCCCGGAGCAGGGGGCGCCGTCCCCCGCCAGCCCGGCCGGGAGCAGGAGCAGGGCTGGGGCGCGGGGAGGCGGCGCGTTACCTTGGTCCACAGACCCCATGATGCGGAGCGGGTGGCGGGGCCCCGGCGGGAGCGCAGCCTCCCTCTGCATCTGGAGGGCGCGAGCCGGCGCGGGTCGGGTCCGGGTCCGGGTCGGGGTCGGGGTCGGGGTCGGCGGCCGCCGAGGGGCGCCGAGCTCTGCCGCCCGCCCGCGGCGCGGCGCTGGAGGAGCCTGAGCCGCCCGGCTGCGCCCCTCGCTCCCTCCGGCGCGGCGAGTCGGCGGCTCCGCGCTCGGCTACTCCAGAGGCAACGCGACTTCCTTCCCCGCGCTCCGTGTTTATAGGCGTTCAATGCAGTAAAATAACGGGATTCCCTCACTGTTTCCTCCTGTTTACCCAGCGCCATGGAAACCGCTGGATCCCGTCCATCTCCAAAACTGAGGGCTTTCCTGCAAACTTCACACTCAGGAATCCATGACGTCGCCTCCTCCGCGGCCAGCCAGCGCCGTGGCTCCTTCGGCCGCCAGCACAAGTCCCTGATTGTTCGGGAGAGAAGTCCGGGCGCGGGAGCCCGCCCGCGAGGAGCAGGGGTGGGGGCGCGCCCTGCACCAGCTCGGGGCTGCACCAGCTCGGGCCGCGCCGTGGGCAGGAGAGCGCGGCCACCGCCTTCCCTGCAGCAGCTTTTAATAAATCATGCCCGAGACTCCCGAGTTCCCCACTTTCGGAGCGGCGCCCCTCGGAGCAGCAGGCTGTGGAGGCCCAGTCCCTTGAGGCCTCAGGCTGCCCAGATGTTTGGGTGTCAGGGATGGTGGGCAGGAGGAAGAGGAGGACGAGGAGGAGGAAGAAAAAGAAATAAATAATAGTGCCTGTGTCAACTATCCAACTTCGAGAATTTTTTTTTTCAAAGAGTTTATTTTTAGATTCATTTAGAAAATCCAAGGTTTCCAGTGAGGCTCAGAAGCTCCAGCAAAAATGAACTGGCCAGAGAGACGCCGAAACCAGGCAACCCCTGTGTTTACACATGCTCTGGATAAACAGGAAAATAAAGGGAAGGGATGTCGTGAACTCTGCAGGCTCCCGGACACCCGTGGGTGCCACGCGTGGCTCTCACTGAGGGGCTGAGGACCCCAGAAGGCCAGTGTGGGTGGGGGCCGCACAGCTGGCAGGATGCTGAGGCCGCCGTTGCAGGCACTGCCTGCTCACCTGCCTGCTGCAGGGGCCTGTCCGGGTCCCTCGGCAGAGCCGGCTTTGACAATGCACATTTCAGATACTGTTGTGAACTCTGATGAAACTGTGGTAGCAACCACCGGGTGACTCATCCCACCCCTCACCCCTCCCGGAGAGGCTTGGACTTCAGCAGGCACCGAGAGGGACTTGGCTCGCCCCGTGGGACCACTCTCTGTGTTCCACACTCGGCCCACGGTGGTCTCCCTGGGCCACTCTCACACATAACCACTCGGGGCCCGCCAAGGCCCCCTAGAACTGGGCCCAAGAAAGCGTTGCCACCACCCCACCCCGCCCCAGGAGTCTCCCCATCATCTGCCCCAGCCAGGGTGGTCTCCAGCAGTGGGATTTGAACTCCCCAACTCGCAGCTATCAGTCGTCCTCCTACTGTGCGCCAAGGAATAAAAAGAAGCCCAGTTGCTCTTCCCGCCTGAGCCTAAAAGCAGGGGAAACTGAGGCCCACAGTGAGCAGGTGCTTTGCCTGCTGGCTTGGCTGGCAAATATGGGCGTGCATCCTGCAAAGGAGTGAAGGGAACCCTTTCACGGGAGTTCATGAGGACGCCCCAGTCCCCAAGCAAGAGCAGGTGATGTGGTCATCTGGGCCTCGGTGAGGTCCCGGATGTAGGACTGTTAGACTTAAAGCTGCAAAAGCTCGGGCCAGACAAGCTGGGACAAGATGATCATCCTAGGTATGAATGAAACCCAGCTCTCTTTTGCCACTGTCCATATACGACTTCCAAAGAGAGTTTACTACATGAGCCACGCTACAAATAGCAACCTCTCACTCAGCACCTACTGGGTGCCAGGTCCTAGGGTAGGCCTACATCTGCATCCTGCGCATGACCGCCTTGTGAAGAACTAATGCTCTGAGTCTGGGTGGGGTTAACCCTGTGTCGAATTATGGTTGCCCCTAGCCATGCATGCATATTACAATTTAAATTAATTACCGAGGCAATCAAGTGTAAAAATGCAAAATCAGCTGGGCATAGCGGGACACATATCTCTAATCTCAGCATTCTGGGAGGCTGAGGCAGGAGAACCACAAGCTCAAGACCCCTTATCGAGACCCTGCCTCAAGATTTTAAGAAGGGGGCGGGTTGTAACTCAGCGCAAAGGCCCTGTGTTGGTCACACAAGCCACACAGCAAGTGCCTCAAAGCCACAGAAGGTGGCCGCTGATTGCTGCACTGGACAGAATGAAGCATTTCCTCTGCCCTGCAAGTTCCCCTGGGCAGCCCTGGCTTGGACAAATCGAGGGACCACCTACAGCCCAGGCTGGAGAACCAGCTTGTCCACATCATCAGGTCCCCACCACAAAATGGGGACGCTGTCACTGCTTTCCGTACAGAACCGATGTGAGAATTAAATGAGCTTATTTAATTGAAGTGCTAAGAACAGCAAGGCATCTAATAAATGTTAAAAATACAAATTCTTATTAAAAAGAAAACCCTTCCCACGGTCAGGGCGGGAGCAGTGACTAAGCCGGGCGCGAGCATGTCTGACGCTGCCTTTGCACGCACCTCCCTCCCTTCCTCCCTTCCCTTTATGAACGCTGGCTGAGTGACCAGGCATGCAGCAAGCCCCCTTGCAAGACTGAGCTCCTTCGAGCCCACCTCCAGAGCTGGGTCTTGCGAGCCCCATTTACAGATGAGCAAACTGAGGCCCGGAACTGATGTTCACACAGCCAGTACATAGCCGGCCCGGAGTTGAACTCAACTCTGGCAACAAACCCCTTGTTCTTGGCCCTGGAGCCCCTGCCTCCCTGAGGCCCTGCTCAGAGCCCAGGTCTTAGAGGCCAGAAGGGAGGAGAAAACAGGCTTGCCGGGCTCCTCTGGCGGACTCATTATCGGGATAATTTTAGACTCGGTCCCACCCAAGCGCAGGCCTTTGAGGCTCGTTCCCATCTCCACAGGTGCCTGGAGTTGCAAAGCGGGGGCCGCCTCTTGGAACCAAGAAGAATCGGCATTAGCCACATTTTTATGGAGCCCACTCTTGGTCACACCGAAGCGTTTTTCCCTTTTAAAGCACATTAATACTACACGGGCTGGAGCCGGAGCCATGCGGCTGAGTCACCTAATTTGCCCTCATGAGCTGCAGCCTGGGCTCTTCAGTTGAGCTGTTCTTCGGCTCCTCAGACAATTTCTTTCCTCTCCCAGTGCCAGGGCAAGAAATATTTTGTCCTTTTGAACTGAACCACCCACTGTTTTTCACTGCTCTGGAGCACTCTCCCTTTTTTTTCTAGGGGATGCTCCGAGGGGGGTGGGTGGAGAGCTTCCGCCCACTAAATTATCCACGAAAACTCCCAAAAATAGAGGCACTCAGCTGGAGTGGGGATTCGCCAGCATGTGAGGGAAACACAGAAGAGGAACAGAATCAAAGCAAACAGAAGGTGTCCAGGTGGCCACGGAGAGACGAGTCCAGGAAGAGGCAGGGGCCTGGGGTCACCGGGGAACCTGTTACTAAATTTTCTCCCCTCCGACAGCCCCTCGCCAAGCTGCCCCCCGGACTCCGACTCACACCAGACACATCGAAGGGGACAGATGGCTCAGCCAGGGCAGCTCGCTGACCCCCTCGCTGCATGGTGAGCCCAGGTGTCACCTCTGCACCTGCCGGTCACCTTGATTGCCGACCCCCTTCCAGCCAATGCACCAATGGGCTGGCCTGGATTTCCACATGTCTCAACCCAGGAAGCAGGGCCAGTATATGAATATGCATCCCAGAAACGTGAAGTTTATTGACCGACTAGGATAACATTCAGCATTTACCGAGCTATGTCGTTTGCTATGTGAAGGGCATTCATTCACCAAACCCTCAAAATAGTCTTCGATGATCACTTGACAAGGAGGAACCTGCATCGAGGCCCTGAAGCTTGCCCAAAGGTGCACAGTCAGTTGGTGGCAGGAGTGGGATTTGAACCTAAGCCACCTGGCTCCGGAGCCTGTGTTTTCACCCTCAAAGCTACAGTGGCTCTCAAGCACCTTTCACAAGTGCTTTGAAAAACTCCCCACCAAGGATCTACTTGCTAACCCGGCCGGCCTGACCTGAGTGGTAGAGATGGGGTAGGGGACCTGAGTCCTTGCCTTCCGCTTGACTGGCGACGACACTGTGGCATCCGGGGCCTGCAGTGAGCAGTCACACGGTGGCAACCCCTGCACGGGCTGCACCTGCTGGGGTCACTCTCCCCCCTCCAGGGCCACACCCTCCACAGCTCCCAGCTCCCAGATCGTCCTCTCCACCCTGCACCATACCAGGACTCCCACGTCTCCTCCTGAGTGACCCTGCAATGGCACCCGTCCGTCTCCTAGGCTCTGTGTCCCCTGCAAACCCAGGTGCATGACCTTTCTCACTGTGTACTCTCCAAGGACTTGGGACCTGTCATCACGTCCTGGCACTGGATCACACATCCTGGTCCCCAGCGTGTCCGACCCTGGAAAACCTACCCCGCCCAGCAGCCCCCCTCTCCCCACACCTACCTCTGATGCCCAGGAACTCAAATACCTGGATCCAGCGCCCCCTGCCCACCTCTCCCATCCTCCCTCACTTCTGGGCCTCTACCAGGCTACTCTGTCCCCTGCAACCCCCAGACTCCTCCCGATGCTCCTTCCAGGAAAGGACATCTAATTCCCCTGAGGGGAGCAGGAGCATCTGATGCTGCCCCATGGGTACCCAGCAAGCACCGGATAATGGTGGCTGCAGTTACAGTCATTTAGCCACTGCACACACCCGCCACACAAGCGTCCAGGCCAACCAAACACTGTGCAGAGGCTCCGGGGCCTCCAGGAGCACAGGGCAGCCCCTGCCCGCAGTGGCCGCAGCCCAGCAGGCTGTCTCTGAGCTCCTCCTCTGGGCGGCCCCTCCTACCGGCTAAGGCAGGACAAGCAGGCAGTGGACGTGGCTTCCCGGCTGGTCATAAAAGTCCTGCGGTTTCTGCCTGGCTCCCCCAGATCTTGTGCTCTGGGCACCAGCATGTGGTGTGAGCACACAGGCGGCCTTCCGAGGGCCACGGCCATGGCCGAGGGCTGATCTCAGGAGAGACCTCGCAGCACCAGCAGCACGGTCCATGGCACACACTTGCTCCTTAGCAGAAAGCTACCACAGTGGCCCAGGCCAGCTCTGCCCACCTGCCCCATGCCATCTCCCCCTCCCCTTCCACTCCGGCTCCAGCCACCTGTGGCCTCCTGGCCTTCCTACATCCTGCCCACCTCGTGTCACCCTATAAAGGCATCAATGACCTTCAGCTGTGACACAGGCGCCTTCACACTGACATTTACCCCCTGCCCCACAAACCAAATTCACAACACCCCAAAGCATTTTGATAGCATAGATCACTGTTCTCATTTGTGCAGTGCACACCTCACCTGCCTCCAACTAAACCGCCACCTCCACAAGACTGGGTGCCTTTATTTGGTTCCCCGGTATCCTCTGTACCTACGGTGATGCCTGGCCTATGGCTGGACCTCGAAAATGTTTGTTGAGTGAATAACAGAATATGAGATTGTCTCATCTGTTTTGTTTATTCGGTTGTGACTC